AATCCAGTTGCAAGCTCTGCCTGCAAACTCCCCCCGTTCGAAGGTAACCAGCAAATTTATGCAGAACACTAGAGCTGCTTAAAATAAATTGAAGGAATTTTTGCACACCGTTTTGGTCTCTCTGATGACGTCACGCTGGCCGATCGCAATGAATGAGGGCGGCGTGTAAGGAGCTGGAGTTTTTCGTTCGCTTGCAGACAAAGGCTGGGTACCAAGAGAAAAATTGAATTACCGCGACACAAGTGGGTGAATTCAATCTCAGTCGATAAACTGGGCATCATTGCCTGGGCGCATCGACAACAACTTTTGACGGTCGAAGGCCGTTCGGCCTTTGTCCGTCTGTAACACAATGTAGTCAAAGAAATCGAACAGTGTGCCTGCGGTCTACGTTGGACTATCTAAGATAGCCTACTGCCGTCCTCCGTGTGTGTGTTCGTAGTATTTTGTCTTGGTGTGTAGCTGGTGGGTTGTGGTGTGAAGCGGGTCGAACTGATCGAGTAATAGACTCGATTCGTTCGACCAATCTCACTTCAAAAATAGAAGACTGATGTTGGAAGTTGTTAGCTGCACGTCACGCTGGCCGATCGCAATGAATGAGGGCGGCGTGTAAGGAGCTGGAGTTTTTCGTTCGCTTGCAGACAAAGGCTGGGTACCAAGAGAAAAATTGAATTACCGCGACACAAGTGGGTGAATTCAATCTCAGTCGATAAACTGGGCATCATTGCCTGGGCGCATCGACAACAACTTTTGACGGTCGAAGGCCGTTCGGCCTTTGTCCGTCTGTAACACAATGTAGTCAAAGAAATCGAACAGTGTGCCTGCGGTCTACGTTGGACTATCTAAGATAGCCTACTGCCGTCCTCCGTGTGTGTGTTCGTAGTATTTTGTCTTGGTGTGTAGCTGGTGGGTTGTGGTGTGAAGCGGGTCGAACTGATCGAGTAATAGACTCGATTCGTTCGACCAATCTCACTTCAAAAATAGAAGACTGATGTTGGAAGTTGTTAGCTGCACGTCACGCTGGCCGATCGCAATGAATGAGGGCGGCGTGTAAGGAGCTGGAGTTTTTCGTTCGCTTGCAGACAAAGGCTGGGTACCAAGAGAAAAATTGAATTACCGCGACACAAGTGGGTGAATTCAATCTCAGTCGATAAACTGGGCATCATTGCCTGGGCGCATCGACAACAACTTTTGACGGTCGAAGGCCGTTCGGCCTTTGTCCGTCTGTAACACAATGTAGTCAAAGAAATCGAACAGTGTGCCTGCGGTCTACGTTGGACTATCTAAGATAGCCTACTGCCGTCCTCCGTGTGTGTGTTCGTAGTATTTTGTCTTGGTGTGTAGCTGGTGGGTTGTGGTGTGAAGCGGGTCGAACTGATCGAGTAATAGACTCGATTCGTTCGACCAATCTCACTTCAAAAATAGAAGACTGATGTTGGAAGTTGTTAGCTGCACGTCACGCTGGCCGATCGCAATGAATGAGGGCGGCGTGTAAGGAGCTGGAGTTTTTCGTTCGCTTGCAGACAAAGGCTGGGTACCAAGAGAAAAATTGAATTACCGCGACACAAGTGGGTGAATTCAATCTCAGTCGATAAACTGGGCATCATTGCCTGGGCGCATCGACAACAACTTTTGACGGTCGAAGGCCGTTCGGCCTTTGTCCGTCTGTAACACAATGTAGTCAAAGAAATCGAACAGTGTGCCTGCGGTCTACGTTGGACTATCTAAGATAGCCTACTGCCGTCCTCCGTGTGTGTGTTCGTAGTATTTTGTCTTGGTGTGTAGCTGGTGGGTTGTGGTGTGAAGCGGGTCGAACTGATCGAGTAATAGACTCGTCAATCGGGGGGTGCTGGAGCTACGTCCCCCACAAGAAACACCGGCCTGCACACGCGCACCGTGTGCTGGCCTCAAGACCCGAGCAGGGATGATCTATACAAAAAAGTTGGGGATAAGAAATTGTGGCTAAATATTTCACGCTCCTCGAGATTGAGAACATTTCTTTAAACGGATGTGTGGAGATTTAAGAGAAAATTGGTCGCGTTGGTGAAAAAAAAAATGGCATGGGAACTGATGGGCGATAATCGTCGTCTTGTAGTGAGATGAATTTGAAATGAAAAGTGGCCATAGTTTTTGCGGAAGAGGGAAGATTGTTTGCATGTGCCGCCAAGTTTGCAAGAATCGGCAGAAAGCAAGACAAAGATGTTACGTGAAGTTGAGTTTGGTGTCATGTCAGAATCGGTAGGTTTCGGGAATTGGCTGTTCGTGGGTTGCGACAAATGGAATCTCTTTCATTTAACAAATTTTCTTCCTTAGGGTCAACCAACGGAATCTCTTTTTATTTAACGAATTATCTCACTTAGCTTTAAACCGCAGGACGTTTCTCAGCTCGGGCAGATGGCCGGGAAAATCAATATTTACTCTCAAGAATTGTATGCTAAATTTCTATTTCAAAGAGTGCAGAGTTTGTTTAGTGTTGAAATAGCTCCATTTCAGTGCTTTGATAATGATTTTAACTTTTGTAGTGTTGTTTTAGTAGTTTTGATGTTAACCCTTCTTCGCAGTTTTGCACACAATAAGACTCGTCGGAATGCAAAAAATAGCTAAGCTTGCTTTTGGTGATCTGATTTAGAAGATGAACTTGGTCGGTGCCATTTGCTGTACCGGTAGAGATTTATGTAAATTGAATGTCTGTTCGTGCTTCCCGCAAGAAATGGCTTTAGAAACTCTCTCTGTGAGCACATAAATTTAGATTGACCAGAATTGCATCGTCCTGGTTTACAAGGAAATAAGATATGCAGTAAAGGTCAGTAAAAATTGAGGAACTTCAGACAGTGAGAAGGCTTTTTTCGAGCAGAAGGAAAAGGAGAAAAAAGTTGGTGCGGGCTTTCCATGGCAGCCCAACCCAAGTGTTTGTCCCGGAAAAAAAATCTGTATGGGCTGTTCCACTTTAAGCTTTTTGTTAAGGGAGAATGAGAAAACTTCAAATTTGTGTTCAGAACAAGAATGCGAACAGTTCCGTGTTGTTTTTGTATGTAGTAGATACACGTGAATAGCCTAGCTTCTTTTGGTCGGCCACTATTTTTTAAAATCTTAAAATTTGATCAAAATTGTTCTAGCATGGCACAAATACAATGGGACACCGTACAGATACATTACGATGCAGAGGATGGTGAGTCTCTTGACTTGATGTCTCTCGAATCTGCTAGTGTGTCGGCGCTAGTACATAATGAGGTGGGGGTTGATAATGGCAGAATCAACTCTGATCATGGTAATGATGACAAGACGAGGAGTGCTGGTTGGGAACGATCTAGCGATAATGATTCGAAAGATTCAGATTATCTACCGTCATCTCAGACGGAGATTAGTATGGCAGAAGAGATGAAAGCTCTGTCCGAGGATAAGAATGGGGACACAGAATCCTTGAGTGGTATCATGTTGGAATTTTGTAAGGATGATGATGACAGAACTGTTGTAGAGAATACAACCCAGGTCGCAGCGACAACAGCAGGGGAAGGAGTATCGGCTTTTCCATGTTTCGGAAAGCCTGGTAGGAGTGCTTTTACTGTTTTGGCTGCCGACGGAGCAGAACTTTGTGCGGCAACTCGGCCTTTTCATGGAGTAATCTTCGAATGTGACAAAAGTCAGATGGGACAAATCATCAACCGCGAAGACTACATGAAGACAAGTCAAAACGGAATGAGCGAAGAACAAGTCATCGTATCAAAGCCATCGAGGATTGGCAAATTCTCCGTCAACCCGCAGTATAGGAAGCACCTGGCGATCATTTTGTTCATAGCACGAATAGCCACAAGAAAGAGGAACAAAAAGTATGCTCTGTTTCAGTTGAGGAGTGTTTTGACAACCTTTGTCGTGAACAAGGACCATGGTACCATCAGGTTTGTCAGAGCTTACGCGAACAATGACGAAAAGGAGCGCTTTGAAGAGCTCATGGGCATAATAGAAAACGAGGTGGCCGACCAAATCAACCACACGGAGCTAAAACTTTGGGGAGTCAACAAGACGCCTTTGAAGATAACGGACTTTAAATTGAGCGCTCTCATGAGCGTTGCAGGCGATCTTGCATATGTTTGGCTGCGATATTTTTGTGTGATTATTGACAAAGCAGAAGACAATAACTGGGGTTACGAAGAAGTTAGGCATAGGGCAATGAATGTTGCGTCACCAAAAGGTGACGACGTTTACAAGTATGGAACTTCAAGAAGGCTACTGTATGTATTCATGCTAACTGCATTTGAACCGCTCCCGGCTCGATACTTCTGGCAGCAAATCAAGCTGTATGAGACATTGACATATAATCACAAGTTCAATCAGTTGATCGTTGAGACAAGCGAAGCGTTCGAGTCGTTTCTAAGAAGTATTGGGGAGAAGGAGGCGGTGACGAGAGCGGTGAATAAGGTATTGAGTGGTCGAGAGACAGACAAAGGCTGTTGGAGATGTGGTCTGGACGTGGAGGTTGAGGATATTGAAGAGAAGACGATTATCTGCGTGTATCGGTTGAAGCAAATTATGGATGGAGCACGAGCTAAAATGACGCACAACAAGAAGCGGGGGGACAGGAAAAGAAAGGCGGAGGAGGTAAGACAACAACAGGAACAAGCAGATATGGCGGCTGACAGTGCCGATCGCAGTATTGACAATAGAGAACAAGGCAAAGATGCAATTGCCGATGGTGGAAGCACCAGCGATTTGGACAAAGACATAGGCGTTCTTGATCATGGAAGCAACGAAAGAGACAAGCATACTAACTCTGCGATGCAATCAGGTAACGGCTCAGAAGAAGGCATAAACACGGTAATAGTGGCGGAGGTCGAAAGAACAATACTGGCTGGACGAGCGATGGACGATCTTGGCAACATAGAATTCCAACGAAGGATTAAAGAGCTTATTCAATGGACCAACAAAAGGTTATCGGTACCTGATTCATAGTATTTATTGTACTCGTGGTTTCTATAATACAATTTTATAATAGCTATGCACATACATTTGCTTGGAACGTTTGTTTGGTACCGTACTTGTACGTTTGCTTGATTTGTTTGCTTGATATATAGGTAGCCCGTATGGCTAGAGAAAAATTCAGCCGCGATCTATTATTCTTGTTGTTCAGGAGCTGGCACCGCGACCAGAAATAGAAAATAGCACACAAATTGATCGATCTCATAAAAATTATCGAACTTGAATAAAAACTGATAAAAATCTGAACTGAAGATGCTGATCCAGTTTTCTGGATTTGAAGTAGACCGCAAATGGTTACCGACTTTCGAATCTGACCCGCAGAAAGCATGTGGTTACATGGCTGTGATGAAAGTGGCATTGCGTGACTCACCACACCCAGAAGACCTGTTGGCCTGGCTTGAGACAAATCACAGTACGTTGCTTGAGCTGTTGGACCACTGCCTTGTGCAAATGGTTGAAGTGGACAGGCACATAAGAAGGGGGAAAATTACCCATGTGCTCGACGACGAAACCGCCGGAAGGGGGTTCATACGCGACTTACTTGAGTTCTTAGCTGTTTGGGCAGAGCGTGACAGCAGAGTCAGAGATCGCCTGATCAGCAGTGGTTTTATGAACGACACTGTTATTCGGCTGTGTCGAAAATATGCACAAGACTGCGTTGTTACCGCTAAAGTCATGGCAAGGTTGCTAAGCGGGTTCCAATGTCTCAGTGACTGGGTGGGCCATCCTACACGAAATGCCCATGCTGCAAAGTTCAAGGAAATAGCAAAGTGTTTTTGCCAGATCTGCATCGTCGGTTGCGAGGAGGACCAGTTGTTGGAAATCTTTCTGTCAACTGCTAGACGTTTTGTGTTCGGCGACCATGTCGGATTTCCATATTGCTTCGCGGAGCTATATGCACAGCACCTGACGCTCGCGTGGACTATCGTGTTTAACAAGATCGAAGCGATGAAATATAGTAGTACAAAAGAGAAGCTCCATGCCTATTTGAAATTTTCCAAAAAGGAATTGCTCTCTCTTGGTGATACAAGATCACAAGCGAGAGGCCTCGAAGTTGTCTTCAAGGTCGTGTCAGAGGAAGTTAAGAGAGAGAAAACGGAAATACCAGCTGTGATTGGAGCACTTGTACAACGTATGCTAGCTCTGTTGATGGGCGTTATGATGGGAACGAACCGAAGTTGAAGACCAAATACGAAAAGACATGCGGTTATCCAAGTCAAAGGCGCATCACAGCTTGGGAACCATGGATGCTAGAACACAGCCATGCGGTATACGATTATATGGATGAGAACATAGGGCGATCGATTTCCAAGTTCCATTATTGCAGTCGGCTTCGCTACGGTTCAAATTGCGAAGAAAAGCAAGACGAAGAAGACAAAAAATCAAAACAGGGAAACGAAGCGGAAGACTCTGATGAAGAGTGCACCCCATGGCGTCCGTCCAAATATCCTCGTGTTGATGAGTATGACTACGATCATGAAGTTAAGGCCGAAAAACTTGAGTTTGCGAGACAGTATTACATTCAGGAGTTGGAAAAGCATCTTGAAACTGTCCTGCCGCTTATTTGTTGTGTTGGTTTGTCTGCTGTTTCCACAGTGGGTGATGTTCTCACATCTGATGTGTAGCTGGAAATGTCCAATACTATGATTTATATTTTTTATGCTTTTCGTTTTCTAAGTGTGATTTCTCCTGTTGTAAATATTTTACAAATATTTTTGTTTTTGTTTAGACGCGTGTATTTTTGGTTTCGTTTTGCATCGAAATCTTCCTTGTAGTGTATTGTACGAGAAATTTTCGGACCCTGTGTAATAACCTCCTCATGCCTCGGTCATGTTTGGATCCCTACTTAATAACAGCTTCCTTCATGTCCGATCCCTACTTAACAACCTCCTTCATTCTTTGAATCCCTACTTAACAAATCCAACTCCCGAATTTAAAGACTGGTGTCTGATTTAATCATGCACTTTTTTTTAAAACATTTTTTTATATAAATACGTTTTTACACTTAGATGCTTCTGTTCCGACTTCCAGACTTTTTTCGAATCGGTTCACGTTGAAAACCAGCTTGTAGACTGACTGTACCGAAAGTTTCTTCGAGATCACAAAATCAAAAGAAACCAAAACAAAAGAGAAAAACATAAGAACCATGAGTGCGACTAATCTTCGATGCGTCAATTGCAAGAGAACAGGGGATGACGTGAGGGTGAAACAGTATTCAAGAGTACTATTGAGAGGAAGACACAGAAAGACTTATAATTGCGTGCCAAAACTAACAACTGAAGAAAACATTATTCTTCGAGTGCACGGACAAGACGCACTAAAAGTATGGTTGTGTTCATGTTGCGATCATTACCTTCTAGGCGGCTCAAATGATCCTGCTGACTACTGGCCGGCCATGGTTTACAAGTTTCTGGTTCATGAGAATTCTGAGCATTCCATCAATGTCTCTGTTTACGAGAAATGGCAGTTGATACCAAGCACATGGAGACCCTGGTGGAGATCACATTTCGCGATGTACAATTTTGATGAAACTGAGAAATCATTGTTTGTTGATTTCACAGAGGAGCTAGAGGAAGTGAAAGAAGCAATAGACGACTTGGGATGGGTTCGTCTGACAAAGCAAATGGACAAACACTTTGCTTATCCCGAGGTACGTTTGATCAGAGCAACAAATATTTGATTCCCTCTCAAGAGCCCTGTTCACCTTACTTTTTGATTTTACCCATTTCTTTTTCTGATTGGCAAAATAGATCAGGTGCCCTTTTGGATGTTCGGAATTCCTTCACAAAACAAACCATGTCCCGCTGAAGGACTTCCTATGGTGCTACTCCAATTACGAGATGCAATGTTATGAAGCGCCAAAAGGCAAGAATTGGACCGATTTTATTTCTCCGTCATATCCGAGTGTATGTTTGATACTGGAAAAATTTGTTTGTTCCCCTGGTATTGCTATTACAGATGATGGACCGATGATCTTGTGCTGTCGAGAGCATTCGACAAGTACAAAGGTTGCGTACTTACATGTACCTGAATCGCCTACCGGAACTATATATACACCCCATGCAAATAGTTTTGCGCCGGTTGCCATACGATCAAGGACTAATAGGAGATTCAAGGTAAGGTGGTGTTGATTCCAAATCCTTTTGTCATTTAGTCATTTTACTTATTCTCTAGTTTCAGCCCAACGTTTTTAGCGACACTTTCTGCACCGTGAAACAAGTTGGTGGTTTTGGGGGCATTGACTCTGCCTATGTTACCACTTCTAATGTGCCAATGAAGTCTGATACGCTGTCTTGCAACAGAGATTTTCTTTCTATTCAAGGCCGCCCAGACATTAGGGCTCAGATCAATGAGAGATCAACAGACAAGAATAGCCCGTTGTACATGTCTAGAGACACTATTGAGTCTATTTTCAGGGCTTCAGAACTGAAATATCCAGACCTGATGGAGTTGCCGGAAACAGCAACTTCGACTTTTGTGCCTTGTGACGTCGCTGTAAAACTGCAGGAAATGATGTACGAAGAAGCCTCAAAAACTATCAAAGTTTTTGAAGATGACGGAGATCACTTTGCCGAAAAACTGTTTGCTCCTCCTTGGCCATCAGATTTTGTTGAGGTTCACCCGCTAGACGGTCATGGTCAACGTTTTCACAAAGTGACTAATGGCGACTTTGGGTTTTGGATGTTCTTATGTATCACAGGAAGGGTGCGGGACCTGTGGCAAGCGATTGCAAGTTCTGTGGAAGATAATAGATCATGGCATGGACATTGGTTGCAGTTTGCATCAAATGTGCTCACTATTCCAGGGAAGACAGCAAAGTCTCGGTATTTCCCAGCACTGGCCGAGAAAAAGGTTCATGATCTTTTTCCCGTTCGGCTTGAGGATACACTAAATGACAAAGCAAAGACTGCTGACCTGTTTTGTTCTTGCAGGTCTGTATTTGTTGTTGAGGGATCATTGTCACAAGTTGAAGCTTCTGACCAAGAATTAGAAGGTAAAGAGGTTGTGATATGTGTCAATCCAAAGTATCCGGAAGTAACAACGGATCGTGCTGAGTCTTTCGAGTTACGTTGTTTAGTGTCAGGGAACCTTGATAACAGGCAAATGTTTGTTCGACACAAAGGTCAAAAGTTCTGGGTTCAGAATGGCGCCTTGCACCTGTGTCGATACGAAGGTGCTGATTTGCATGATGGTGCCTACCTTGGTGCCCGCATAGCTGTGTTTTGTCCCAGAAGAAGTGTGGGCAAGCTGACTAGTTTGAAAAGAAGGTATTTGGCAGCCATTGGAGGTCAAAGATGTGTACACTGCGACGTTCACAAATGTCCACTTGTGCTGAATCATCATCACAAAAAAAGCTCAGAAAACACATACAAATGCGTCTGCAGGGAAGGGTGGCAGCACAATCGTGATGAAGTTTGCGGGCAGTTTGGCAGTTACTCATGTCCATATCTTGACTGTTGCAATATTTCGATTTGTGACAATCATCTGAGCAAATCAAGGAATAGGTGCAATTCAATTGGTCCGGAGGCTGCGATGTTCCTTTCAGAAGTAGGATCCTGTTTCTTCAGTAATGATGGGGTTTCTGATGATGGCGCCTTCAGGGGACGTTGTGAATCAAGCATAGCTAATCATGTTCTGCCGGAAGCCCTAGGGCCAACTGCGGGACACGAACTGCCGCAAGATATAGTTGGTGAATACGGAGCAAATTGCATAATGGAGGACAATAGTGATTCGGGCTCTAGCTTTGGTAGTTATGACATGGTAGCAGAGGACAATTTGGAAGAACCGTGGAATTTTGTTGCAGCGCCAACAAATGATGAAGACCAGCAGAGGGTGGTAGTTGGTGATCAGGAACACAACAATAGCGTAAACAGGAGTCATGTCTCCGAGCATTTTGGTGCTGAGGATCTCCCTACCACAACTATCCCTACAACAACCACAGGAACAGATCAATGTGAGATAGCTGTTGATGGAGGACAATTTATTCAACGAGGACATACTGACAATCATCCAAGACAACAAGGGATGATGTTATTTCAACACAACAATACTGGTATCCACCTGGATAGTGGATCTACTTTTCATTTGCGAACCAATGAAGATGACTTTAAAGAAGAAAGTCTGCAAAGAATTCATGGAGGATTCCATTATGCCTCTAATGTCGAGGGAAGAGAACTTTATCGAGAAGGAATTGATAAGGTATTTGACTCTGTGTGTAAGCTTGACACACGAGCTAGCGACAACGTCAACAGCTTGTCGAATATGGTACAAGATGGATTTGATGTATTTATGGACACAAAGAGAGAGAACAGCTTCTTTGTGACCAGAAACGGGACTACATGGCGATTTGGACATCGCAATGGATTATATACTCTGGTAGACGAACCTGCTGTGGCAACAGCAATGTTCCATAATCATGCACGTGGAATTGACAATGCTGGAGTAGACCCACGATTTGATATTGAAATTGAGAGATACAAAGGAATGGCATTCATCCTACAGCGTGATAGGATTAATATCGGAGAACCAATGAATGGATATCATGATTTATGGAAATGGACGAAATTTGCTCAATGGTGTTATGAACTGGCTAAAGACCGACGATGGGATTTCGATGACTTAGATATCTTTTCCAGACTAACGGTTACATTTGCTGAAGAAGCAAAACGACGAGGTATTCGAAAAGATTTTCACGAATGGACAGATGGAAGAGGATTTATATATGATGAAGTTCCTGCTGGCATGGAACTAGATGAAATTCACATAGTACCTAACAATTTAAATGATAATATGGAAGGGTACTGTGCTCTACAGAGTGTGGAGAAGAACAAAGAGGGTTTCACAAACAAACAAGTGAAACGAGCAAATGTTGCACGGAGTGGCTATCATATGATGGGGGCACCTGGTGCAGAACTATTCAAGTTGGCGATTCGGGGAAATTTTTTCAAAAATTGTCCAATTACAGAGGAAGATGTTAATATCTCTGAAAAGATATATGGACCGAGCGTTTCAACAATTAAGGGCAAACAAAAGCGACCAACACCGAAGGCGGTGGTTGATGATTGGATCGAAATGCCCAAGGAACTCCTGAAACACAATTTGAACCTGGATTTATGTATCGACATTATGTTTATCAACAATGTCGCGTTTTTTGTCAGTATTGACAAAGCGATCAAATTCCGATTCAGTACTGAACTGAAAGATCGGACGAAGGATGCTATTTACAAGTCGATTGACAAAATTTTACGCATTTATAATCATGCGGAATTTCGAATCAAAACTATTTATTGCGACAACGAATTCAAACCGGTATTTGATGACGTGAAAGATAATTTGGATGTGACCGTGAATTACGCCGCGCCGGGCGAACACGAACCAACTATTGAGCGCAGCAATCAAACATTGTAAGGATTTTTCCGAGCACACTATCATCGAATGGTGTTCAAGGCAATTCCCAAGGTTTTGACTATTGCTTTACTCAAGCATGTGACAAAGGTTATTAACTTTTATCCTGCAAAGTAGGGAATTTCGAAATATTACAGTCCACACATGATTGTGAGACGAAAACCGGTAGATTTTTCAAAAGAATGTGTTGCTGAAATTGGATCCTTTGTACAAGGATATGGTCACACAACCAACAACAGTCAACGATCAAGAACAATTGATGGTATTTATCTTGGAGTAAATGACAACATACAAGCGGGACATATGTTACTTGATCTTAATACAAAAAAGACAGTAACGAGACCCTATGTAACGGTACTTCCGATCACCAAGCAAGTGATCAAAATTGTGGAACAAATGGCACACGACGAGGGCGTTCGTGATTTGCGTACTTATCATTGGAAGAATGGTGAAATCATATTGGATGGTGATTTGCTCGCAGGAGTGGACCCAGATGAACTGTGGGATGATACATATATTCCACGCGAAAATGAATACAAACAAAGCGATGAGAATCTTCGTAATGAAAAGATTGATCAAGATGAAATTGATGCTTTACTTGAAGAAGCGGAAGAATTTATTGAAAACTATGATGTTGAACACACCGAAAATGTTGAAGAACAGACAGAAGACAGGAGTGTTGCAAGTATTTATGAACGATTGAGACGGAAAAATGATGATGACGATTCCGATCAAGATCCCAATCCAAATGACAAATATCAGAATGATGAGGATTTAAATGAAAAGATTCAAGAAATTGAAGAAGACATTCAAAAGGACAAAGAAGATGTCGAATCACTTAACGATGAGGAACAAATCGAGGAAACACGCGAAACATATGAGGAAAATGACGACTTAATTGATCAAATTCAAGATGAAATCAAAGAATGTGAAAATCAAGTCAACGATGTTCGCGAATTTGTGGCGAATTTGGATGATAATGAGAATGAAAATAATGAATCTGACGATAATTCGGAGAAATCAAGTGACGACGATAATTATGGAAATGATGAAGTGAATAAAGAGGACATATTCAGTCCAAGGAAAACCAGGAGTGGTAAATCTTATGTTCAAGATGGAAT